GCAAAGGAGAAGAGCCCATGGATTGATGAGATTCATCAATTCCCCGTGGAGGTTCCAAAGGTCTCGACTATATAAAGTTTCCGTTCCCCGACATTTTCACTAGATGTGGGTTCTTGATTGAAAATGCACCTAGCATAACTTTATTTGTTTATTTTTTTTTAAAAGCAAACGGGGCAAACGACTGTCCCGTCCCGCCCCGCTGCCATCTCTAGCTCTAGACTAGAATGATGAGGATGATCAATATTCTAATTTTTCCTTTGTTATTTTTGTATTTTTTTTCCTTGTTTACATATACATAAGGGCAAAATTGGAAATTCAAGCCATATTAACGGCAAGTTTAGACAACAAAAACGATTATCGAGGCAATGACTATTAATTTATTAAAGATCGAGGATATGCGTGTCAAGAAACAAAGATTAGGAATAGAAATGCCAAAGAAGGTAAAAGTTGGGAACAATGGTCCCAATTTACCGAATTTCTTTACTTGAAATATACATATAGTTTAGGCATAATAGGGTTGCGAGGTTTTAAAAGCCTCTTTAGCTGTTGTTTGGTATCGTTAAACATAAGATTTTTAGTAAATTTTGATAAAAATTAATAAAATGTGTGATTGAAAAATTGATAAAAGTTGTGAGTTCGATAGAAACTTTAACTTAATTTTTTTTATCAACTTTTTAAGATAAACAAAGAAAGAACTTAACAACTTGTATTTTTGCTTTGGTTCTTTACTAGTTTGTGCAAAAACACTCTCCCTCAAACCACAAAAATTCAGTGCTGCAAAATTTTGCTTGCAAACATATTTTATTGTGTAGTATTTTCATTGTTATTATCCCCTCAAAGTAGATTGACCAATCAAGAATGACTTGACTTTCAGCTTTCTCAAATTATTATAATTAAATGGAGGTAGGAATTAATTGTGTGGTCTATTGGATGTCATCTAAGATTCCCTCAAGAGCCGTGTTAGCTATTCCTACTATTTCAAAGAGCAAGTTTTGTCACTCTCGAGCAAAACTATTGGTTGGTTTCATCTCACACATTTTGCACACGTTCGATAAATTGATAGAATTTTTGAGCTTTAACATTCGAATGATTGATGATTGATGGTCACCCTTGATAATCCATCAAGTTTTATTGAACTGTGCATTTTGCACACTTGAATCACATTATGTCCCTATTTAGTGTAGATTAAAATCTACCGTAAATTTGATTTTGATCTACCTCAAATAGGAGCTATTTGTTTCATAATCCATAGCCATGTGTAGATTCTACTATCGAGTGTCAACAATTGTTGTTATTCATCATAGTTACTAAGCCTATGTCTGAGCCCTAATTTTTTTTTTCTTTTTAAATGAGTTTTTAATTGTGATTTTTGAAGAATATGATTAGAGAAAGGTCAAATGTACTTTTCAAATGAGTAGTACACATGCTTGCTTACTTTGAAGCAATCTCTGGAATTTTCCCTTATCCGAACGGGTCTTGCAAGAAAATAAAATTTCATATTGAGCTCCAAATATACGCTATTGAGATGGGATGGCTCCTACTAGCTCTTCCCCCCTAAGAACCACACCTCTCCGGAAAGGTTCTTCCCCTTTCTACAAAGCCTACTCCGTTCAACTTTCTTTTAGAGCCATTAATAACTGCCAGATTTTCAACAAGTCCGACTATCTCTTGGGCCGGGCTTACAGCGCGTGAAACTCATCACTACCTCATAAGGGCGTTGGAGCAGTACACGTGAACCACGCCCCATTAAATGGATGTTATGGTGCTAGAGAGGTTGACAAAATCTCTCATGATATTTTATCATTGGATTGTTTAAAATACAGTCATATTTTATTTTTCAATCATATCTTGTTAGACACCCATTATGTTAAGGCATTTGTCGACATCTTTTTGGCAAAACAACATTATTTTCTTTAGAGAGATTGAAAGAACAAGAACCAATTAAATTCAACTACTACAACCAGTACTGTTTAAGCTGTTTCTTAAGGGTACACACGGGCGAATATCTACTTCATATTATAAATAAAAATATTAAATGGGAATGAACCAGGTGAAGATGATCTAGACATGATACTTTATGGACTTCATTAAGTTATAGGATAAATTTCAAATTAGATATATTTAGTATATAAAGGTTAAATTTATTGATCTTAATAAAGTTGACATTTTTGAGATAGAACATCAAGTATTAATATAGTATTGGAGTTCATTAAATTCGAACGATTCTTTCGATTTGACTAAGATTTGAATGAGTACACAAATTTCAATATTGATATTTTCAAACAAGTTATCTTTTCAATAAACGTTAAATAATAAATCTTACATCGATTGAATATATGATATAAATTAACATACAAGAGTTTGAGTTTCCACTATTAACAAAAGAATCATGCTACGAGTATAGAATTTTTTGACAGAAAATCCTTGCAGACAACACATGCCACAATATCATTGGAAGATGGGAAAAAAGAAAAGAGAGTCCAGTCATATTTTGCCATGTCAGCATCGATACATATTCTGTTAATTTTTTTCCATACTTGAAGCTTTATTCTTAACAGAGTCCACTTTCTCGTTTTTTATTTTTATTTTTATTTTTAAAGTTACGGCAGAATGATTTTATAAGCACAGTGATATGATTCCATCTAAACATGCGCTAAACACTAATTGCACTACATGATATTACTTAATTTTCATAAACTTTAAAATACTTTATTCAAAGGTGTGACGATCTCACCAAACTTACATGGAACATTTTATTTATTATTATTATTATTTTTTCAATACATCGAAAATGAAAGCAACTATGTCATGTCTTAAAAAAGTAAAAGATACATGGAACCCATCGAATTTGATAGAACGACCCTTCTCCATCCTTATGAACTTCACACTATTTGAATATTTTTATTTGTCGTGTATATGGAAAATATGGAAACGTAATACAAAGTTAAAATATCTTACGTTTCCTTGAAAAGATTAAAGGAAATACGATACCCATGTAAATACAAAATATTTTGTTGATTTTAATAAACGTGTTCTTTTTTAAATTGTAATGTTATTTATCTAGACTACTATCATATTCATGAGTTTTGATATAATTAAGACCCTATTTGATGTAGTTAAAAATCAATTTTTTTAGTAAATTTTGATAAAATTTGATGAAATATAGGTTAAAAAATTGTGAATTTTATGAAATATGTGGTTACATTTAATTTTTGAATTTGTATTAGATATTTATCCAAATTTTAATCCATATCAAACATAGAGGGTGTTTGTTGATGATTAAAATTAGATTTTTTAGTAAATTTTGATAGAAATTTTTGAAACCTATGATTGAAAAGTTGTGGGATCAATAAAAGATGTGGTTAATATTAATTGTTTGACTTTAACTTAAATTAAATTAAATTTTAATCTGTACCAAACAGACTCATAAGCTAAATAATATTCATTGACTTGCCATTATAAATAAAATTCTTGTCAATTGACTTGACGTCTAAGGATCCCGAGTCTATAGCATTATTCTTTCCCAAGCCCCTGTTTGAGCCATTCTATAAAAACTAATATTTTTTTATTACTCATTTAAAAAAAAAATATATATATTTACATATAAACTCAATTTTTTTTTCTTATTTTTCGACCATATATTCTCCGAAAAATGATGTATTCTACATAAATATGGGCTTAAATCACATGATCTCCATCTATCTCCCTGAAATTCAAAACTGAAATGCCTTGTGCCTGGTGCACTTTACGCTTTGAATATCTAGCTTCCAATCTTCCAGGGCAACTCAAAAGCTATTTTTTTCTATGTAAGTCAACAAAGATTACTGCTCCTTTAGATATTCTTCTGCCTTTCTTTCTTTTTATTCTGTGGTTAATCCTGGGAGCATCATTTTTAGTATCAGATAAGATCATTTTCTTAATCTTCAAGGAATCTTGTTTGTTTCGTGCGGGGAACTAGAATGCTTGCTATCGACAGTCCCACCGCCATTCATGGCTATATATATTATAAGGTGGTCAGTGATTTTGGCATGTACCCAATATTGTGCAAAGTCCATTCATCAATAAAATTCTATTTCTTTAGTGTTTAAATTCAACAGTTCTTCATCTTTAGGTGCATACACTTGCTTACTACCTATCTGTATTAATTTACATTTTGTTTTCATATAATGATCTTTATAAATGAAAAATAAATGGAGCTATTGCAAAATATGACCTTTCATCCTAGGCTTGGTAATTAACTGTGAGTTGTCCATTTCAATAGAATATGGTATACCGACTTTCACCTTACTAATATATATTTCTTCTTAATGTTTGGGTTCAGCAACAGATTTTTCCTTCTTCAGCCTATAAGAATGGGAGAAGAATCCCCCGATCCACCATTTCAAGAAAAATATAAAAACCTCTTCGACAGTTTGACTGAAGTAGAATTAGCAAAGAGTTCTGAGGAGCTTTTAGTTGATGAATGCGAACTCCCACTGATTGATCTCAACATGTTAAACCTCGGAGATTCCGAGAGAGAAGCATGCAAGAGACAGATAGCTAAAGCTTCCCGAGAATGGGGCTTTTTCCAAGTCGTAAACCACGGAATTTCCAGCCAAGTATTGGAGAAAATGAGAACAGAACAAATGAAGGCTTTTAAGAAGCCGTTTAATGAGAAGACAAATGGCAATGATCCCAAGTTCTCGATGGGGAGTTATACTTGGGGGACGCCATCACCGAATTACCTGAGGCAGCTGTCTTGGTCGGAAGCTTATCATGTGTCTTTGAGTGATATATTGGGTTCTGGTGGCCTCTGCACACTCAGGTAATTCACAAGCCTCAAATCATGAGCAAAAAAGTTTCTTTCTTTCTCCATCACATCAGTGTTATACATGAAACATTTATCTAAGCGTGCTTGAAGAAGTCAAAAATATATGCAAACTCAAAATAAACTTAAAAAGCATTCATAAGGGGTAACCTCGTAAGCGATCTTAGATATATAATGCAAGCCAATATACTTGAACAAAAACGTAAGGATTAAGTTGGTGAATAAAACGTGAATAGATAATAGAGTTAGTTGAAAGTCAGTCAATCAATGAAAGCCACATGTCATCAACTAAAAAGACTCATTTGCCCTCAATAGCTGAATAGATATATATAAATAGGCATACCTAAAATGAAGAATGGTATATTGAATTTGAATAGCTTCATTCCAGATAGTCATTTCTCTTTTTGCTTCACATTGAGCAGTAGAATAATGAGATTATGAGGAGAAAATCCTGAATAGGTAAGAAGAATTTGTTGATCAATATTTTAAGTATCAACAATAAAATTTTAAAAGGTTATGTGATGAGAGCGAAACTTGGTATTAAGATCCCATCCTTTTACTGAATTCAGATCAACAATGGAACAATTTGCGGCAAAAGTGTCTGAGCTAGCACAAAAGTTGGCAGAAATTTTAGTGGAGAAATTGGGTCAAAATTACTCAACATTCTTCAAAGAAACGTGTTTGCAAAGCACTTGTTTTATTCGAATGAACAGATATCCAACATGCCCAATTTCAACTCAAATGTTTGGCCTAATGCCACACACTGATAGCGATTTCCTCACAATATTGCACCAAGATCACATTGGAGGCTTGCAATTAGTCAAAGATGGGAAATGGATTGCTGTTAAACCCAATCCACAGGCTCTCATTATCAACATCGGAGATTTATTTCAGGTATATTTTATCATTTAATGAAATGATAAAAAATGTGCTCGTTTGAGCTACTAAATTACAGTTTTTTTGCCAAAATCTCACCGTCCGCCACCAAGGCTTTGTACTTTGCATGCCTACTTTTTTTTATTGAATAATGTATCTATCACCGTTGATATTGTACATTAGTCTAGGTGTCGGTAATTTTAGTGAAGAAATTGGGTCAAAATTACACAACATTCTTCAAAGAAACGTGTTCGCAAAAACTTGCTTTATTCGAATGAACAGATATCCAGTGTGCCAAATTTCAACTCAAATGTTTGGGCTGATGGTACACACTGATAGCGATTTTCTCACAATATTGCACCAAGATCACGTTGGAGGCTTGCAATTAGTTAAAGATGGGAAATGGTTTGACACCGATGATATTGTACGTTAGTCTAGATGTCAGTATATCAAAGCTCTTATGAAGTGGGCCATAATTCATTTTATTTAATTAGACCTCTAATTTAATGCCATTAGTGTTGTCATATAGACTGATGCTAAACACACCAATAGTGGCTTTTGTTTTTGCCTACTCCCTGTAAAAAACTGTCACCTAAACCGATGTTAGACATAATCACGATAGTAAACAGATGGCAATGGGGCGGGTACGGACGCTCCCGCCCCGTCTCTCTAAAATCCCACCGCGCCCCGCGGGGGCGGGCGGGGCAACTTTTTGCCCCATTTATTTTTTTATTTTTTACATTTTTAAAATTTCGAGTTATATTATAATTAGAAAATAAAATACAAATTTAAAATGGGTCTTCAACCGATAAATTTTCTAGAAATAAAATTATTTTTATTTTTTTCTTTATCTTCATGGGGTGGGTTCGGGGCTTTTTTGCCATCCCTAGGTGGTTTTCAGTCAAAAACTGCCATGTGCTCCTTGTAAAAGGCCTGGCAGCTCTTTTCCTGTACGCATAGCAGGATTTTGGTGCTAAATAGTAACACTCTTTTTCATTTTAGTAGCTTAATAATGTCTGAAAATGAATGCAGGTTTGGAGCAACAATGTATATAAAAGCGTTCACCACCGGGTTGTGGCTAATAAGCTACAGGAGAGGTTCTCGACTGCATACTTCCTGTGTCCATCTTATGACACTGTTATACAGAGCTGTGTTGAACCTTCCGCCTATAGAAAATTTAGCTTCAGAGAATACAGACAACAAGTGCAAAACGATGTCAAATGTTTTGGCTATAAAGTGGGACTTGCAAGGTTCCTTTTGTGAAATAATTAGATCCTCGTTTGTAGAATATAGATGTACACTTTTTTCAACGGAAGAATTTACTGGATCATAAGTCTTTCACATCAAATTAGTGCACCATATCCTATGTAAAAGGTATAGATATCTTGTGTTCTTTGTCTTAGTGTTATCTGCTGTTGTCCTGTTCAAATATTATACTAGCAAAAAAATTAGTTAGGCGGAAAAAAGTGAAATCTGCCAAATTTGATGCCCATGCCAATGGAAGGTCGGTGTAACTCTGTTTGTAGCGAAAGCAGCCAAATATTATAACCATCTCTTAATGAAGCCCTCTAAGAAGTAAAAGTGGGGGACTGGGAGTAGTGGTGGGCGTGGATTGGGTTAGGTCGGTTTTTGTTGATCTAAAATCAAACCAACCCAACCCAATCAAGTATCGGTTGGGTTGGACAAATTGTAATTTATTACCATATAATCAAACAAAAAGAAGAGCGAACAAAAAACTAAAAACTGTAAAATGTATAAAACATTTCATTTAGGCTTCAGCAATATTAAGTATTAGTTGAAAAGAACACAAAAGGTAGGAAAATTGAAAAATGGAGAAGTAGACATTAAATTAGAAAAAACAAAAAAGGAAGGTTTATTAACTTGATATTCTTTGAGTGGTCGAGTGCATGGTGCCTTGCATTGCTCTTCAAAAGTTCCTGTTTCGGATCTACAGGCTCATCAACAAACCTAGATTAACAAAACAAGTTTGCACAACAGACAACAATACTTATTAAATTGATACCAAACCAAAAAGCAAGATAGATGGTTCTGCTGGTAGCCAAATTTTTATTTTTTTTCGAATTTAACTTCTTAATTATTATTTATCTCAAATCTTTAATAGTTTTTGGCAATAACAAGAAAATTATGCTTCACAAGCTTATTTGAAATGTGAGAAATCGATTTATTTAGAAGTTAGATCAAGACTCTATATAGAATCTTAAAATTTATTTTTTCTTTAACATTTATGTCCATAATTCATATAATCATTCTACAAGATACTTTTGTAAATCAGTACAAAACTTAATTATCCTAAGAGATAGAGATTACGGGAAGACCTAATTGAAGTATTGAGTTATATATTGTGATTTCAGAAATTCAATATAAAAATTTGTCTATTATAAATTATAATGGGATTCTTGTTATAATTTTATGAAACTTTAAATCTTGAAAATAGCGATTTTACGTTTAGGCAATTTATTTCTCTTTTCCTTTCCTTTCTTTTTTTCTTTTTAAATAGGCGGGTTGGGTCGGTTTTTATGAGTTAACCCACAACCCAACCCGACCCACCTACACAATCAAAAAACCGAAACCCACTTAAAAAAAAAAAAAACCGACCCAACCCGGTCGGGTTGGGCTGTTTGAGTAGGTTCGGTCGGGTATTGCCCCCTCAACCGGGTTGGGTAGGTTTGGGCAGTTTGAGCGGGTTCGGTCGAGTTTTGCCCACATCTAACTGGGAGGCTAATAATTATCAATTGAGGGCATTGTAATCCCCGTTGTGTTTGCTCATGTGTAAGGTGCAATAGATCAGCAATATGGTCCCCATGCTTGACCTGTAGAAAATGAGAACCTCTGCAAAATGTGAGTTGTCTTAGGTGGTGCTGAAAAGAAATGAAGAACAAACTTACAGAGTTGCGAAGAAGAGAAGTATCCTTCTGGGGTCAATTGTCCATGAAGGAGAAGACCTTCCGAAACTGAATATTTTGCCACCAAATTTGCTTTCGACAGCAGGGTTTCCCATGATAGTGATCTGATTGTGAACTGGCGGGCTGGTGAAATTATCGCATCCGCCCATAGCCACAATTAGGGGCTTTTCCGGCGTGCCACCACCAAGTAAAGCAGCTGCAGTTTGGATACCATGCAGAATATGTTAGCTTGCCATTACCCAAATTTTCCCATAATGCAAATTATATGTATCCAATTGCGCATTGAACAAAAAGAAATGAGACAGAAATATGTGTTTATACTTTAAACTTTTCTTTGCTGATGATCTTACTAAAGGATTAAGCTAGAAGAGGTGTACATTGAATCAAAGTTTACAATGCAGCTAGGGTCGGCCCCAAGAATTTTGAGGCCTTAGGGGACTCATCATTATGAGGCCTTTAAACGTAAATTTTTTCAAACATAAAAATATTTAAATGTTTAAATAAATAATATATTTATATTTTAAACAAAGACTTGGCCTAGGCCTAAGGCCGACCCTGAGTGAAGCTGAATTAAGTACTTAAGGTGAACAAAAAGAGCCTTAACAACATGTTGATTTTAAAGATACTCGAGAATTTAATAAATCTAGAATTCATTGATTGTCAATTGGATACCGAGTAACAGATCTTGATTGAGAAATCATCAATATCATTAAATGCTAATTGCAGTGCCTATCTAATAACCTAGATATCGAACCAAATTAAAATTACATCATAATGTGTTCCTCGGCTGCTTAGTTTAGCGTTCAAGTCTCCTCGCAATCACTTAGAAAATTTAAGAAATCCACGCTCGGATTAAGTATTCAATTTACTAACCATGTCCTAATTCATCGAGTGATAATGCAGAAACATGACAGTACCATAAGAAACAGAGGATGTGGGTAGGTGCGTGGGGGCTGATTGATTAAATTTTAATGATTTATAGCTGCCCATCACCTGTCATTTGGATCAATATCCGATAATAATTGAAATCATCATCATATAATGTTCAGACACTCTGTTTAGATGATATTAAGAACGTGAATACAAGATAGTACACAAGCTACTTAATGGTGTCTCGATTGTGACCTAAGCAGGTTTTGGCCTCTACCATGCCATAGGCACCAAGAAACACAAATATACATGAACTTGGAGGCCATTTTTATTGGAACTTTCTCATAATTGGATAAAATAGACTACTTCGACTGGACATTAGGTGTAAATCTAACGCAAAAACATATGATTTTGAGATGACAAAAAATGACAAAAGAGAAAAAGGAGTAACGGTTACCTCTCGTGGAAGTTGCAATGACACTAATGTATTTCTCGTTGGCTGTATTTTTCTTCTCGACTCCTCTGAATGTTCCTTTTCTTGAAATGCTTCTCTGCAACTTATCATCCAAAAGCGCGCACATAAACAGAAAGAGTAGCCCTTTTTTTATGGCACATAGATAGTTTGTTTTTGGAAATCTAAACAAAAAGAAAGCCAAAGTACAGAGAAGGAATAAAGGCATAATCCCAGAAATGATCAAATTAAGAAAGAAAAAACTTACTTTAATTCTTGAATTTGCATTAATATCCTTCTCTAAGCGTTCAATATCTAACACAAAGGATTAGATTTAATGGTTGTGGATTGCAATCCATTTACATGATCAGAAAGCTCACCAGCTTCACAATTTGCTCTTAGATTATGAGAGAACATTGTTTCCTAAAATAAATAATAATTAAAAAAAAAAATTATAGACGGTTACGTTTGTGTCTAAAGATATGGTGTTTTATCAACACAAGAATTTCGAGGGAGAAAAAAAAAAAAAAATACCCGCATAAAGAAGAAAAGAAAGCTGGGAAAAACTATGCTTACCATCTTTGGATTTTCAGTCATTTCCCACCAGATTATGCGGAACAGAGAATTCTAATAATTTCACAAAAGATTAAGGATCGAAATTAAGAGAAAGAAAGGGACTCATAGATGAGTTGTTTGGCGGATTTCACAAAGTTGCTTAATTAGTCTCCACCATGAGATCTAAATGACACATCAAAACAAACAAAGCCTAAGTTAGTCTACTTTGTTTGTTGATCATACGAATGATGAAACAAGTTTGTTCGTGAATGATAAGAAAGAGAAAGCTTAATTATCAAAGCTCCGTCATTTTCTAATTTTCTTCAACTGCTACAAAATCAATATTTGTGGGTTGGAATTTGGTATAATGATTTTCTCTTCATTCATTCAAAGGAAAATCCAAACAGCATGTATAATTCTTGATGATGTGTGATCGCTTTGGGTGTATGTATAAATACATATGATGGTTGGGCGGGGCGATTGAGAAGGTTTGATGAGTGAGAGAGGAAGACAAAGGGAATTCCAAGGATGATTAGAGAGAGAGAGAGTTGGAATTGAGAGACTCTTGATTAGGTTAATCATTTAATTCATAATGATTTATTCTCGTTCAATGTGACTTTTTAAAAAAAAAAAAGAAAAAAAGAAAAAAGAAATAATAATTTATTATTATTATTTTTAACAATGAGCATTGATATCTATACAAAACAAATCATCAAATAGAGATGAAGTGAGTAAAAACGGTTCGTTCACACTTCAACTAAGTGGCTGCAGTCGATTCGAACTAAAATTGGTGAAGGAAAAAAGGTAGTCTCACTTAAAGTACATGATTAAGAAATATTAGGTCAAGGGATCAAAGATGCTCTTATTTCACCAAGTCCACAAGTGATTGAGGATGACTTTCTTTTGGATGAAAGAAGAATCTGAATTTTGGAGAGCTTGACCCTAATTATCGATTATCTCATCTCAATTTGGGCCAAAAGCATAACTAATTTTAAAGAGGATCATCCAACATGTTATTCGATTTGGACATACGCATGCAAGGAAGAAAACGATTAGTGAATTGAGGAGGATAACATCGTATTTAATTCAACTTTACTTGATTCGTAATTTTGAGGGTAAAGAGAGAGACCTTCACTATAAAGAAAATGACATTTTGCAACATGTAAAGAGTAACATTCATTCAATGACTATTGTCGAAAGGGATTTATCACAATAGTTAGTAAGTGTATATTTTTTTAGTTAACAAAATTGAGATTTGCAACAATAATTTTAATGGATGTTGACATAGTCAACCTTTGAAACTTTCACTTGATTCTTACAAAAACAAAACTACATATTTCAGCTTTTTTGCAGCTTTCAAAATTACATATTTGTGTTGTGGTGCTTGTTGGTTATCCAACTTTCAAAAGTTTCAATTTGATCTCTAACTTTAAAACTTTTCAACTAGCCATTCATAATGAGGGATATTGAGCAATTTAAATGAAATTTCTTATACAAAATAATCAACGCAACTTTGAAATATGCATTGAAAAAATAGTGTTTTGTCCAGTAAATACAAAATGCACATGATAAATAAAGTAAAAATTCAACTCGAATTGGACAAAAAAAAAATTATACGTTAGTTCTTTTTTGTTCTTTCAATTATATCATATTTCTTGTGTTCATTGTGTTGCTAAAAATGCCGACTTATTAAGGGAAAAAAATTACTCGCGTTCTTGAAACCAAGATCGAGTTGTCTAGTTATAATTTTTAAGATAAAATGTTCAATCACCTCTAATACCTTTATTCAAGTATGATGGATTTGTGTTATACAACATGTTCTCAAGTCGATAAGCCCACCCGAATCCCTTTACCTCTATTCTTGTGGAACATATTTTTGTAGTGAATGAAATCTATAAACCTTACTAGATGGATTTGCCTGGAAATTAAGTTGTTTTGTTGTGCATATTTTTTTAGAGGCAAATTGTCTAGTCTCTAGACGACTAATTCATTATGATAAATATATTATCAATTCAATGATGTAACATGTAAAATATAATGAGAATATTGAAAGATAAACAAATGCTGAAAGTTGTTTTGGCAGGATACCAAAACAGTGTATATTGCTGATGTATATATAATGACTTTACAGTTACATATAGAAGGATAGACAAGATTACGACAAGATTACAGCCTAAATGTCAGGCATTACAACCAAGACATTATGCACAGTCAAGATATCAGCCATTTCTTGTGCTTTAACAATTATAGCCTGCATATTACGTTACACAATATGTGGGATTGATATCCTGTGTCTTAACACCTTCCCTCAAATTGGAGGGTATGGAACAGACCAACAATTTGTCACGTAAAGTACAAAAGCGATCAACAGTGTGTCCTTTGGTGAAAATGTCGACAACTTGATTTTTTGTGTTGACATAACGAACAACCACATCTTTGTTAACTAATTTTTTTCTAATGAAGTGATAATCGACCTCGATGTGCTTAGTTCAAGCATGGAAAATAGGATTTGATGCTAGTGACATAGCACTTAGATTATCACACCAAAGAACTTTGGTGAAAATGTCAGCAGATAGATGCATAGTTCTCGTAGAAGCATTCTTATCCAGTACACCTTTGCGTGTTAATGCCAACATCATGTATTTGGCCTCAGTACTGGACCAAGCCAAGGTAAATCCCATAGCCAGTGGAAGACCTTCTATCATCTGGATTACCAGCCCAGTCTGCATCACAAAAGGCATGTAATGAAACGGTGCTTGGTTGATAATAAAGGCCAAAGTCAGCTGTGTGCTTTAAATATCTTAGAACCCTCTTAGCTGATGTCTAGTGAATGCTAGTTGGAGCCTGCATATGTTGGCACAATTGATTCAGGGAGTAAGCAATATCCGGTCGTGTGATTGTAACATATTGTAGGGCCCCAACTATATGTTGATATTCAGATGGATCAATCAACAACTCACCATCAAATTTGGACATTTTGGTACTAGAAACGCATGAAGACTTGTAAGGTCGGGCACCAACCATATTTGCATGATCAAGTAAATCATCAATATTCTTTGATTGACGTAAATGTAAACCTATTAAGTCACGAACAGCTTCAATGCCCAAGAAATAGCTCAAGTTACCTAAGTCTTTTATCACAAATTCAGACTTCAACTGGGAGACAATCGAGAAAATTGTAGGATCATCGTTGCCGGTGATAATGATGTCGTCAACATATACTAATACAAAAATATGTATATTATCTCTGTGAAAAGTTAAGAGTGCGTAATCAACATGTAAACCACAGAAACCAAGATCAAATAATGCATGATAGAGACGAGTGAACCAGGCCCTTGGTGCCTGTTTAAGGCCATAAAGAGAACGATGTAATTTACAGACAAAATCAGGATGTTCAGCACTGATAAACCCCTCGGGTTGTTTCATATAAACCTCTTCATCAAGAAATCCTTGTAGAAAAGCATTAGAGACATCTAGTTCTCGAGTTGTCCAACGAAATTGTACAGCCAAAGCCAAAAGAATTCTGATAGTAGCTAGTTTTACTACCGGACTGAATATCTCAAAATAGTCTACCCCAGACCTTTGATCAAACCCCTTCCCTACCAATCTTGCTTTATAGCGATCAATGGAACCATCTGATTTTTGTTTTACCTTGTAGACCCATTTGTTATCAACAATGGGATGAGTAGAAGGCTGTGGACAAAGTGACCATGTATTTGTATTCATTAATGCTTTGAATTCAAATTACATAGCAATGCGCCATTCAGGTTTAGAGACTGCCTGTGTAAATGTTTTTGGTTCAGGAGGGACTACAGTGGCTTGAAAAATTTTAAGAGGATAATGTGATGAGTAAAAAGTTTTATAGTCTAGGAATTGACGAGGTCGGGAATATCCAGTTTGAGAGCGAGTAACAACTCTAGAATTGGGTATAGTTGGGGGGTTGATGGTTTCCAAAGGGAGTACAACCGAAGGGCATGAAGAAGGAGAAGAAATAGCTTGAGTTGTATCATCTGAAGATAATTGTGGACTTGATAACGGGAGGATAATTGTGGATGGTGTTGTCTGGTTTTAGGAGTAGGAGAATGACCCGTTGAAGGAACAAGTGAGCTAGAAGAATCAGGAATAATTAAAGGATTAGGAATTTGAATTGGAGAAGAAGACATACCAGGAGAGACCACGGTACCAGCAAGGGAGTGATGACTCAATGATCCCATTTTAGCTGGAAATAATTTCTCATCAAACACAACACTGCGAGAGATATAGACATGCTTACTTACAGGATCAAGGCACCTATATCCCTTCTGACTCGAGCAATAACCAATGAAAATACACGGGACGCTACGATAAGACAGTTTGTTTTTAGCATAAGGACGTAATAAGGGGTAGCAACGGCATCCAAAATTTCGGAGAAAAGAGTAGTCAGGGATTGTTTTAAAAGTTTAAAATATGGTGTATGATTATTTAAAATTGGTGTAGGCAATCTATTGACTAAATATGTGGCAGTTAGGAAAAATTAGACCCAAAATTTGCTTGCAAGTCCATATTGAGCAAGTAAGGTAAGTCCCATGTCAACTGTATGACGATGTTTACGTTCGGCTATACCATTTTGTTGAGAAGTGTGTGGACATGTACGCCTATGGAAAATACCATTTTGATTAAGGTACTTGGTAAAATGAGAAGAGATATTCTCGCCACCGTTATCTGTTTGTAGTTGTTTAATGGGATAAGAAAATTGTTTTTCAGTAAGTAGGCGAAATTGAATAAAAGAGTTGAAAACATCAGATTTATTTGCATTCGGATACAGCCATGTATAACGACTGAAATCGTCAACAAATATTACATAAAATTTAAAACCACAATTGGAAGCAATGGGTGCAATCCAAACATCAGAATGTACTAATTCTAAAGGACATAATATCTCACGATGCGATGAAGGAAATGGGTGTTGTATAGATTTGCCAAGTTGGCAAGATTCACACACAACGCCGTTTCTCACAGAACCATCAAGAGGCAAATTATTATAATGTAAAATATGACGTAAAATAGACTCGGATGGATGACCTAAATGATGGTGCCCAAGAGAGCTAGATGCCTTTATTCCCATAAATGCAGTTAATCCTCTACACTTATTGTGTAATAAGTTGGACAGATTGATGGGATACAGGCCATTTTCAGTCGGTCCCTGAAGAAGCGTGATCCCCATCTGGTTGTCTTGAATATAATAAGCATCACTAGTGAGAAGAAATGTTACATCATTAACGACACAAAATTTGTTGATGGAAAGCAAGTTAGTTGTAGCTTGAGGACAGTGAATAACATTATCAATTAAGAATTGGTTATTATTAGAGTGGACAATGGAAGAACCAGTATGTTTAATAGAGATACATGTACCATTACCTACACAAACAGTCTCATTACCATCAACCTTATGCTTGGAATCAAGATTTGTAGCATTATTGGTTACATGTGCATTAGTATCACTATCCACAAGCCACCGAATATTCAAGAAGTCAGCATTAATATCAGTAACTATAGCAACCAAATCTGTAGGAGGATGATAGC